TTAAGAATTAGGGTAATAAAAATTTAATAAATTCATCTTGACTGGAAAAATGAAAAGATTTGAGTTCTTACCAAGGAGAATTAATCCTACATCTATAAGAACTCTCATATATTTGGGATCTCCAATGTATCTATTTAGAAAACAAGAAATTAATATTCTAATATATACTCTTCAAACAACCCCATTAAGAGATATAACACATAAACAAAGACTTATTATTTATATGAATAAAATAATTTGGAACAGCAATTTTTTAAGAATTCAGAACAGAGGAGATAACTTTTATCTTTATTAGATACCAAAAATATACTAAGATAACAAATACAGTAATATCTAGACAATAGATCAGGGGTTCTTAACCTTATTCCTTGTTTGGGCACATCTGACAAACAGGAAATTGCTGGTGGTCACATTTCTTAATATTTCTTTATTTTGTTGCAATCATAAGCATCATAAACAATATCCTACACTAAAAAGGTAACAAAATTTACAATAGTTACATTTAACATGATTTTTGGCATTGCATATTATCTATTAATTTTTTCAAAGTCAGGCATACAAGATGATAAACAGATGTAAAACAGTGTTACCAGTATAATAATTTTATGGCTTATATTTTATTTCTAAAAGCATGATGAATCTCACGACCACAGAAAAAATTGTGGCGGGCCAAGGGTTGATAGTGATATAGTATATAGCAGACAGTCGCAGATGCATAAAAATAACTTCGCGAGCATGGGGTTAAGAACCCCTGCATTAGATAATAGTCGGGTCCAAGAAACAATGTTGAGTACCTATAGACTATCAAAAAATTTTAGGCACACATATCGATGCACTTGTCAACTATTTAATATAGAGAAAATGAAAAATTATAGGAGAACACATATATAATATTAAAATAAAACATAAACAAAAAAATATAAATTGGAAGAATGCACTATGTAACTGCATAACAAAATACATATGTATAAAAATACAATAAATAATGTTATACAGTTATATCTGTCCAGTGTTCTATTGTGTGCGAAATATATATGTTTAACATACTATTAAAGGCCCAGTGGTCGTGGCAGCGTATTGCGCTTCACAGGTTCGGGTTTTGTTCCCGGGCTGGGCAAGGTCGACTCAACCTTTAACCCTTACTGCAGTGGGTTGATAAATGAATACCAAGCTTGCCTGGGGACTTAAACACTGTAGGTCTCGCTTAAGACTGACCACCTGATCGGGACATCTGCTTGTGCACGCATACCGATGGTCACGCATACTGGGATGGGAACAGAAGGCCCTGGCCCTCATGGACTGTTGTGCCACTGAGTTTTAGTTTTATATAAAGTTAAACAAATATCAGTATATAATATTTGTTCATTTTGCTAATAGATTGATTGAGAAATAAATTCCAACCGAGTAATTCTCATTAGAAGAGGACACAATGATAAATTAAACACTTGCAAACTTATGTAAGTCGAGGTATTACTGTACTGTATTTAGTTGTGTAATTAAAAAAAAAAATTGAAATCCTTATAGACAAATTATTTAGAAATTGCAGTAACACAGCTGGAGGAGTAATGAACAAATAATTGACAGAATGTAGCGGAAAATCATACAATTAAATAGAAAATCATTGACAAAACTCAAAAGTTGATGCATGACTCCAAAGCTGTTATGGAGCCTGTGGAGAATGTAAAATTTCAGATAAGAAGTTGAGCATACTATTTGAATGCAGTTAAAAATCTTGAAATGTGTTAAGAATTAAATAAATTAGACATTTATAAAGGTTATTTAATATATATAAATTAACCAATATTTATCAAACACTGAATTCCTCTAGTAAATGATCATAGTGATGCTTAACCAATATTGTACATTTTATTATACGAGGGTGGATCCAGAAAAAAAGGTTACACGGTGAATAAAAAAATATTAAAAATACACAGAAAATGCAAAAGGGAATTAAGAGGCATACGTGCCTATCACATTTCGACATAATCAACCAGTCTATTTAGGCATTTATCAGAACGCAGAACCAACTTATTTAATCTGTCTTGGTGGAAATCAGGTCCCTGTCCATTGAGCCAGGTCTCAGCGAATGATTTCACAACACTGTCTTGGAATATCGCAGCACATCAGAGAAACAATATGCTGTAAGATACTACAGCTCAGTCACAGCTCTGACGAGATTTCAGGCAGTGTTACCCGTTGCTCATTTTGAATAACTTCTCCAATTCATACCATTATGATTTCTGACACTGAAAAACTTGAACGGCACCATTCTCTGTCATATTGCAGCTTTCGACATCCTGCCTGCCTGACTGAAAAGAGTGACACAATTTCACTACATGTCTACTCATGGCAGATGTAGATACATTCTTTGCCCATAAAAATTGAATCACAGCTCACGCTTCCAAACGAGACCAAGTTCCTTAATTTTGACATTTCAATAATCTTGAACCATCTGGGAACTTTCACTATCTACATGCAAACCATCTGTATGACAAGTAGCATCATTTGTCTCCACTTTGGGGAAAACAAATTTCTCCATAATATGTAGTTTTCAAATGTTCTTTGGTAATGAATTTTACTGGGGGGGAGGGCAGTTTTTTTTATTTCCATCAATTATTTGTTACTTTGAAGAACAATTACCAATTGTTGAGATAACGGAAGAAATTCAATGCCATTAATAGATAAAGAAATAATAACAAGCCGAAATAAAAACTTCAATATACGAGTGTATTGCAATATTATTTTTCAATAATTAAAATCATTGGAATTGGTTGAAAATAGATGCACACAAAAATATTTACTAATAATTTCTAAATTTTTAGGATTTAACCTGTCAAGTTGAAGACAATCATTCTGTTATACTATAAAAATCCTACAAAACAGATTGAGAGTTTTCAGTAAAATATTTTTCATCGTTTCATATAAATTCACATCATCAATTACTCAAACTATATAAAATCCCATTAATATCTGCTATTAACTTTTTAAATATGTTAAAACTCCTACTTTTAGTACTTGAAAAAGCAGATCACCAAGGATTGTGTTGAATGAGTTATGTTCATTAAATTCATTAAGTATTATCACAATCATTTACCAAAAATACAGAATGGTAAAAAGTATTTTACATGCAATATAACAAAACTATTAAACCTTCACAGGCTAAGATTTTATCATATGTATACATGTGTATGCGAAAAGACATGATTTTTCAAGTTTTACATTGAGAAGTAAGATCAGTATAAAAATACAGGAAGTTTACAAAATATAGAACCACCACTTCATTTTGAAAAATTATCTCTCTTCAACAAAATAAGCAAGCATACAATTCTAAGAATTGTAGAACATGAGAAGATCTTAATATTTTTTTTTACTAGGCAATAGATTTGAATGTGGTTACTTAATGAGAAAACACTGCAGTGTACAATTTTGCTCTTAATTAGTGCTCCCAAGAAGCAATTTTTTCTCTGGGAGTACAAAAACGATTAAGTGGTTTTTCTGCCACTAAAGATGAACATTGATAAACTGAAAATTCAAATTACTGTAGCCATCCAAACTGTAACACACAGCAGGCAGAAAAGAGCAAGCGCAGAGCGAGTTCATTTACCGACTCAATATCGTTTGCATTTCTAGTGATGTGGTCACATCAAACTTTAATATATTTTAAATGCTATTTTTAATTTAATTTGTCCAAAATGGTTGCAACTATCTTAGTTTAATAACTGTAGCCTTCCGAAAGAAGTTGGGGTATTCTTTTACGAATATCCTATATATTCTGAATTATTCACAATACTTAATACATTTTTGACATTATGATTTTTTCTTGACTACATTATTGCTACTATTTCCTACAGAGTATTATTTAACCTATATTCTATTATCTCAATTCATAAGAACACAGGAATCCAAAACAATTCAGAAGAATAAAAAAAACAAACCCTTTTTAATGCTACTTTTTCTGTTAGAGCAGTAATTTGATTTAAATTAAAGTATACAAGTTACTGACTGAAGAGTTAACTAGCAATGATACTAGTATAATTTGAGCATCACATACATTTTATCCCCAAAGATGATTTTAATAAGATTTAATCTTTGATTCCAAAATATAGGAATGGATAGCATTGAAGCACTCAATTAATTTAATGACATGTTAAATCAAGATGAAAAATATTTCAGCAATAATTATCTACTTCTGTTTTCCTTACTTTGTCACAAATCTGATAAGTACTATAAGAGAGTTTCCTTCTCTCTCCACCATGGCAGCCTTAATGGAGCCTCGACGGATCAACTCCATCATTACAGTGATAGTAACTTGTGGACTTGCACTCCCTCCCTGAAAAGAAAATTCAAATAAAATTCTTTCAGAGCATGATTGGCAGCCCAAAGCATAAAATGATTCTATCTGCCTCCTTAAATTTTAAAATTATAAAAAGAAACCACTAACAGTTTTAATATTTCAGTGTACTTCAATTATACAATCCTTAAGAGTAAAGATACTCTGAACCCAAAGGAGCTCATACATTTCCCCCGTTACATCTGGATGATATGAGACATATTCAATCTTTACCACTTGTTCAATAAAAGGGATTGGCATCTTTTTATTTACCCCTTAAGTAGGAATAAGAAAATTAACTTCTTATATTTCAATATTTGTAACTATAATTTTTATGGTAATTCATTCTAGATATACATTACAAAGCATCTACAAATGGAAAACTAAAGCATATATCAAAATTAAGAATATACTTTTTCAAAAACAAGTAATATAATTTTTTTTCCAGTCAATTCCTACTTAGGTCAACAAAGAAATTTTTTTTTATCTTAGTTACTTTTTATTAAATAATTACAATTAATGTAAATATGTATATACATATGACAGAACCATAATATTAAGTGGTAGAATAGAAAAAAGTTTTCCCTGCAATTTTCTATTCTATATATGGTATTGGACTCTTATTTTAGTTTCTTACTATTTATTCATTCATAAATCACATTCTCAGAAATTAGGCAGTATTTGAACCCGTGAACTTTGGATTAGAAGTCCAACGTGCTGTCCATTGCCCTACAGGCACACAACGAGCCATTTTCCTTTTTATATATGGTGTTGGATTATTATTTTTGTTTGTTACTATTTATTCATTAATTAAGTTTAACGAATTAATATTTGAAAAAACTGTACTAACATCAAAAGTCATCCACTACAAGTTTAAAAAAATGTATTCAAACTTGAATGGATGAATAAAAAGCATTTTATGAACAATTGAAAATTTGTACAAGATATATATATATATATTAGCTGCATGGCCTGGCATTGCAAGGACTTTCTCTACTTTTATAAATTTTCCCTTCCCTTCATAAAATCAGCACAGAACTTCCATTATTCTTTTTCAAAATTACTTAAGACTTTTTTTTGTTTCTTTCCCCTCTGCGTAGCCCGGCATTGGACAGGCTTTTAACAAGTGTATAACTTACTTTCCATGTTAATTTCCTCTTTCCTTCATGACGTCAATACTTATGTGCGGGTGTGTACACGTACGATGTGAGCGATTGCTATAATAATGTCATTAAAATTCCCTTTTTCGAAATTTTTTCACTTTTCATTGTCAGACAGGTTTCTTTCCCCTTCATTTATCCCCTGCGTTGCATGAACATTTTTGAATGCATGACATATTGTTATGGAAATTCCCCTTCCCCTCTAGCTGTCAGCACTTCCTGGTGTGTGTGTATGATTTCTATATTAGTCATTACAATTCCCTTTTTCGAAATTTCTTCCACATCTTTCCATTGTCAGATATGTTTCTTTTATCTTTCTATAGCCTGGCGTTACATTGGCTTTTTTGTGAGTGTAGAACTATACCCCCATTATTTTATTTATAAATAATGAATTAAAAAAATCTTACAGATAGCTATTGAAATGGTTTTTTTCTGATTGTTTGAATAAACATATGTAAGTGTAAAAACACACACACATATATAAGGGGAAAAGCTTGGATATATGTTTACATTTACTAAAAAAAAAACACTCAAAAACAAAGAATACTATCTGATAAAAATATTTTAGTATTTTATTGTAATTTTATAGTTTTTCATTCCACTGTGTTTAGTAAATAATTAAACATGTATCTGATGAAAAAAAAAGTATATTATACAAAACTAACATGTTCATTATTTTAACAATTATTTTCTAAGAGCTTAAAATAATAAAAAAAGAGGTTTGGTATTTTCATTTACTCAATCAATCATTACATAACAATAATTTCCTTCCTAGGTTTTAAAATAAAAAAAATGATTAAAAATGTTCACATTGAGCAATTAATTGTGACAGACCATTTGCTTAAAAATGGATGTAAGAGAAAAAATCTTGTTTATTGATAAAGACTTATTAATTATTTTAGAATATAAAATTAAATTAATATGTAATATAAGATATATATTATTACATTAATTATAAAATATTTTTTCTATAAAATATTTAATATAACACATTTTTACAAAAATACTATTTGTTTTATTAATTATATTTATAAAATATAATTACAGTAATTATTTTATTTTTTAAAATACAAAAAAAAGTTACATATTCAAGCATTATTTTAAAGTAAACTATAAGTTTTATGAAAGAATAAATTTTGATATTGACAAATATTTTAAATGAATCCTAGAAATGTATTGAATACATCCTTTCATCTTAATCTAGCATAGAAATTTTCAAAATTACATAAGTATTTTAAAGGAATTCTACCTTATTCTGTTTCTTTTTTAAAATCAGAAGAGCCAATGTTTAACCTCTTTGGGACGAACGCCCCAAATATGAGCCAGCATGAAACACTGTCAGAAGTCGAATGACTCCAGGATGAACCAGCGAGTTTCTCCCTCCACGGGCAGAACGATTCATCCATGCGTCTATGTCCATAAGATTTGAGATACAAGGAGATCTGACCTTCTACTCGAAATGAGAGAAATATTGCTCATATACACATGGTTTTTTGTTTTATCAACATAAGGGGAAGGGAATGTTTTTGAACTGAGTGCTTTACAACTGCTCTTGAAATGAACATGTGGTTTTTGTTTATAGTGAAAATGACAGATTAATTTTCACTAAAGCATTTGATTTGGGTTTGCAGTCTAGTTTTTAATGGATAATTAGATCTGGCAGACAAAATTTGTCCTTTTTTCCCTTACTTTTTTTACAAGGTTCACTTTTACAAAGGCAGACAATAAAATGTTAAAAACTTGTACTTAAACAGAAAGAGGCTGAAGTAAATAAAGTATATTAATACAAAATATATAATGCATATGCCGTTCGTATATTATACAGAACAATATTGAACAATTCGTTTATATTTTGGTATTTTTTATGGATTTATAGGCTTAACTACACAAAACCCTCCTGCCTGTGCGTGATGGAAACCTCCGGCCCTGGAGGTATGCACATGCTTGCGTCCTTCATCCTGAAAGGGTCAAGTATCGTGTGGCTCCAGCAATGTGTCAACTGCGAATGTGCAAACAACCCTCCCCTGTCCAAAGGGATATTTCAATGAAGTTTTAAAAAAAATTTTTAGAGCATGTCTCTTAAGTTAATGCCTTCAAACTTCACACATCAATTGCAGATTATGGTAATTTTAAATAAAAAAAATTTAACAAAAATAACGCTTAAATTTTTTCTCGCAAAAAGACCCCGCGGCGCCCCCGACAGAAAAACACTAATTTTTTTTAAGATTCATAATTTCTTTTGCGAGATTATCTTCATAAATAACGAAGTTATTAAATATTTAATTAAAATTTTGAGTATTTTTTGAAAATTCATATAAAAGAAAGTTTTCGACATTTTATTTTTTATATGTCTGATTCTAAAAGAGAAAAGCATGAACTTTTTTTAGTGTAGAATATCAATTCATTAACGCGAAAGGAAATTGAAAGGGAACGATTTAGAAATCATTTTAGAAAATATCGTAAAAAATAGAAAATATCATTAATACAATAAAAAATTTATACTGTATCATGGCAAAATAAATGCTCTTCCTGATACTGTAAGTATTTTTTGATTGAGTTTGATAGAAAGAATTGGATGTTTCTTTAAAAAGCGTCGGAAATAAAAAATAATTCTCACCTCCCTGGTTGTTCATTCTGGCTGCAGTGTATCAGTAGAGAGAAGCAACACACAGAAGTAAAACAATTATGTGTTTTAAAGTTTTTAATTAATATCTTTTTAACTAAATGCAATATCGGAATATAAATGGTAAAAACGGATTCCTCGGATCAGTCTCGATCTTTTGGTACCTTCGGCGAGTTTCTGCGTCATGCGGTTATGAGAAAATAGACATGCATACAAACAAAGATATGCGTTTGTTTACCTACGAATTTTAATACTGTAGATAAATAAATAGATATACAGAGAGATAAAGTAATAGTAGGAATTGATAAAACATTAAACTCTGATTGGTATCCCCGGAATTGAATTCTCCGTTATTTATTTTAACCCTCTAAGCGGTCTGCACTTAAAGTCTTGCCATTTTGGAGATGCTTCAAAAATGCACCGCACATATTGTTTTTGCTTTCAGGTGAGGTTCTCAAAAGCGGCTGAGTCGTATTTTTAAGAATGCGGCTCGGCCGCTTTTGGGAATCTTGCTTAAAGGCAGAAAAAGCATCTCTGGAATGGTGGAATTTTACGTACAAACCGCTTGGAGGGTTAAGAATACGTATTTCAAGATAAATTTTCTAGGTAGCATTTTTTCTATATGACTAGAATGTCACATTTAGAATAGAATAGTTCTTAATAATATAATTGTCAAAAGAATAAGTTGATTTTCTGTACGTCAAATGACATACGATTATGTGTTTTCCACATCATACTGAAATATAGTTTCATTATATAAATTGTAAATACTTTTTTTTCTTTTTCATTTACATCTAGGGTATTGCTTTTAATTACATAGAACAAAACACATAAAAAAAAAATGTTCCTCTCATTTTTGATATCTTAAATTTTTAAAAATATTTATTAAAGATCTGAAAATTCACAACTGGCGCACTAAAACGATCAAAGATCTAAAGCCTTTGGAATAGTATTACTGATAGTAGCTCAAAGAAAGGACACATTTCGGAAAGACGTATATACACATTCAAGGCATTTAATCTACCGGTTAAGGGAGACCTTATAAGCAAAAACGATACGAGTGAATGAATATTAATGCTGCACTGTTCAGCTAGTTGATGGCTTTTGGCAAAGGACCTCGTAATTTTGAACCATGGTCAAGTGATGAAGATGATGCCTCTGAGCTGGCATCCCACTCTCCTAACTACCACATCACACCAATAGGAGGATGTTTGAGCTCGACAGACTTAACATGCATCGCTTCCCTACACAGTGGATCTTCAGCAGTATTAGGCTCAAATTCATGACACACTGGCCAAGAATTCGTTACCAAGACCACTAGGCTACCATGGCCACATATGCTGGAGGCATTTAAGGGGTTAACAGCAGGCCCTTCTGCAACTCCCAAATACAAAAATGGACAGGAATAAAAGACCTTAATACTTTCATCATGGCAATGGCGTTCCTTTGCCCAACCCTCTTAAAATTGAAATAAAACACAAATTAAATAAAAACTTGTTTATTTTACTTAAAAAAAATAATGATCAATAATTTACACTAGACATAATGTCTTTGCACAAGACACTTATTGTGTTAAGTACAAATATGTTAGATAAAATTTAAAATTAGAAATAAGGTAGAGCTAAAAAATGTATGACAAAGGATTGCATTTCAAATGTTCAATAAAAGATATGAAATTTTTTTATCCATTATAATATATTTCAAAGCCTAAATTCCTTTATATTACCAAAGAATCACAATGAAAAATTAACTTTGAGTAAGTACTAGTGGAATGTAATGAATAACACAAAAATAAAAATTGGCTGACTTTCAGATCTTGGGTTTGATAGAATATCATCAAAAAATATTCCAATTAAAATTTTCAGAATTTTAGTAACATTTCAAAAAGTGAATTGCTTTACAATTAAAATAAAATTATAAGCATATACATAGCAAAATATATAAAAATAGT